CGGTATTCATTAAGGTACTGAAATTTCATTAATTGAAATCATAGTTTTGTAAAAATGAATTAATTTAATTTATACATTTTTAATTGAGTAAAATGACTGAAATTATGAATACGGCAGATAATAATAATAATATTATATTATTTGACATGGCTAAAAATGAAATGTTTGATATCAATGATAATTTGAAAATTTTAAGAAGGAAATTGCAAGGATCATATACAATTGCCATGTAAGTCACTGAAATATTAAGTTAAATACCAATAGTTATAATATGTCTTTATATATTAAGATTTAAAACGATTTGTAGAAATAAACACGAGATAACAGTGGATKTCTTAAATGGAGTACAGTTAGTTGTATTTGGAGCTCCACGTGCTATGTTTTCAGAAGCAGAATTTAATTGTCTTCATAAATATATTGATCAAGGAGGATCTGTATTAGTTATGTTTTCTGAAGGAKGAGAAAAAGAACTGCATACCAACATGAATTATTTATTAGAGGAATTTGGCATAATGGTGAATAGTGGTAAGAATATTTATAGTTTAAAAAAAAAAAATGACATTTAGGCAATCCCTCTACTGTATACTAGAATCGAGTAAACCTTTTAATAGGTATGGCTTAAATTCAAATTCAAATAATAAATCATTTCATACAAAAGCAATTTATTCTGATGTACTGTCAGCCTATATTATTTTATCTCATATTTATATTACTATTATAGTGATTTTTTTATTATTTGTTATACTATGTAAAGTATAAATAGGCCTAAACTATTAATTTAACTATTTTAAAAATGTCATTGTAGGTAGATAAATATAATAAAATAGTAAGTCATCRTGAATATTTTTTAATTACAACAAAATTACTAAAATCATTATTCTTAGTTTAAATAATCAATTACATCAAAATTTTAATTTCAAATGTCTATAAAAAAAATGTGTGCATATATATTTTTAGAATTTTGAGTTTCTGTAATAACAACTTATGAGGAAATTTGTATAACATTTTCAAGYCTCAACTATAAAAATTAAATGTTTTATACATTTTTAACTAAAAAATAATTTGTTCTGTTCTTTAACTAATTTTACTTTCTTAGTAACCATTTTTATTTTATATTTTTTTTTTTAGACTATGTATTACGTACACACTATTATTTATATTTCCACCCAAAGGAATGTCTAGTTAAGGATGGTGTTGTTAATGATGCTGTGGCTAAATATTTGGACCGAGAAAATGAAAACACATCAAAGTAAACTTAATAATTAATAAATATATAATTTATAATTAATATTTGATATAACAAAAGCTTTTCCATTATTATTCTTTTATAGATAATTTTTTACTGTAGGCAATAAATAATATTATAAATATCCTAACAATTAGTATGAAAATATAATGTTAATTATTTTTAAATAATATYCTCCCAGAATATGTGTGTTCTTATTGGATAAAGTATAGAATTAATGGTTGTTTTTAAATATTTTATACTGTGTTCTGCAAGAAAATGTACTCAGTCATGCTTATAAATGACAGAGCTCCACCACTTTAAAGTATTCTGACAGGAGCATTTCAGGGTGGTTTTTTAGTAAGGATAGACCATTCTATACCCTAAATTTCTGGTACCTATGATGTGTAATTTTTATTATTTTATATACTTATTTTTGAAAGATTGACATAGCTCAACAATAGTTTGTTAGCTTATATACTGAAGTTAGTCTCACTTTTTTTTTATTAAGATTTACTAAGCATATATTTTGCTATCTACATGAAAAATGTACAATTTTCTACCTCTRAAATCTGTAAATTGTAGGTGTCRTCTGGGCATTTGAGCATTATTATACTAAAGAACTTTTTTTCATATCTTCAAAAAGGTTCTTGGATGTATTAAATGAATGTCACCACTTTTCTATCAACTGACATAAACACTAAGTTGGTGGCACCACGTGTTTTTATGTCATATTTTACATTGACACTTTTCCCGTTTATTTCAACATAAGAAAGAATTAATTTTGTTTTTTGATGAACTGAAATATTTAGCATCCTTTCTTTTGACAACGTAAACACTTTTCTATAATAGCTTCACCTTCTCCATCACGTTTGCAAGTATTCATATATTCATTAATAGCCCCTTCACATACTTTATTGTTTAAATTTATTTTTTAGCATACTTAAGCACCATGTTGTTTTAAAAAATTGTTGCAAGTTTTGTCATTGTAAATAACATGTCTATAAAATTCAATACAATTTTCCATTTTGATTCAACAAAAAATAATTAAATTTGAAAATAATGTTAGCACACATCACTTTTATAAACTAAACCGTAAGTCATGTATCTACTAACTATGATATGTATAAAGTGTAGGCTGTAGCGTGTATTATAGATGTTTACAATTATACCGTTATACCTGCAATATCAGTCTCGGTATAAATTAGATATCAGCCGTAAGATAAAAAACATATAACGCGATCAAAGTACAGGTAGATAGCATATAACACGAGCTCCAATATTAAGTTTTCTAAAATTGTATGTGAAACATTTAATTTCTAAATAATCCCTAATAAATTATTATATTATATTGGTGTAGATGTGTGTCATTGCATATTGTTGACTAATAATCATAATCTGGAGAATAGTTACTTACTACTTTATACACAAACGCTAATCTAAATTATTATAAGAAAAAGTAGCTCGGTATTCAGCTGTTTTAACTTTCATATAATAAAATGCTATTTTACACAAAAAGGGTGATCTAAAATATGTATATAACTGTAATCTATTAAATATATGCCTAATAATAAGTT